GACAGAGTAAGTCAAATCGTAATCTCGCCCTCTCCCCTCGCCATACGTACCGTATGACCGCAGATTTTAGTGCGGAGAAGAAGGTGGTCGGTAGGGCCAGTGGGATTGTTTGGAACGGATAAAGCAGCCATGGTAGAATGTTCATCTTTAGAACAGCTACCCGCCCATGCCACGAGATGTGCGGGTGCGCCCATCTTTTCAAGTCCTCTGTTACTTTCTGCAGGAGAGGGGTAAAGTTGTGTCGGTACAGATCATTAGGGTGTGGGGTTATCCAGATCCCCAGATATTTCATTTTTTGAAAGCACCACCGAAACGGGAACAGTGGTTCCAGGGCCGCGTATTCGCCCTCGGGCAGTGATACATTTAGCACTTCGCATTTAGATAAATTGAGCTTGAAGCCCTAGATCGAACCAAACATCTCAAATTCCGACAGCAGGCAGGGTATCACAATTCGAGGGTTTGTTATGTAGAACAAGAGGTCGTCCGCATCTGCGGCTACTTTATGCGTTGTGCCCTGCCATGAGAAGCCACTGATGTCGGGTTGCTGGCGTATCTTCTGAAGCAAGGGTTCTAATGAGATAGCAAAGAGTAACGGGGACAGGGGGCATCCCTGCCTCGTACCATTGGAGATCTCGAAATCTCCGGTGAGTGTGACGTTGACTCGCACCGCTGCTCGCGGCTTATCGTACAGGGCCCGAATCATCGTGAGGAATCGGTGTCCCATTCCCATCTGGCCAAGGGTGGCGAACATATGTGACCATTTCACACGATCAAACGCCTTCTCAGCATCTGTGGAAATCAGGAGAAGGGGTTGTTGCGTTTTCCTCGCCTGGTGTTGTATCGCGAAGAGCCGAAGCGTGCTATCTCTCGCCTCCCGACCCGGAATGAATCCCGTTTGATCTTTGTGTAAGAGAGTAGGGAGGATGGATTGGAGTCTGGTAGCCAGTACTTTTGTAAACAGTTTGGTGTCAACGTTCAACAACGAGACCGGACGATAGCTACCGCAAAGCGATGGGTCTTTTCCGGGTTTAGGAAGAACCGTGATAGTGGCCGCTAAGGATTCGGCTCCGAATCGACCCCCATCAGCGATCGCGTTAAGGGCCTTTGTGAGCCACGGTAAGACTATTGATGAAAATGTTTTATAGTAGCCTGCGGAAAATCCGTCCGGGCCTGGCGCCTTCCCCTTCTTGGTTGCCTTCAGTGCTGCCGCCAATTCATCCTCCGTAATCTGGGTCTCCAGGTCGGTGGCTGTGTCAGGAGAGATGGTTGGTTCGACTGTGGCATGGAGGTAATCCCGTGTGCGCGCCATTATCGTTGCCGAGTGCGCCTGCGTGTTCTCCGCATCCAGGTTATACAAGGATTGATAGAACAGCTGGAATTCCCCTGCAATATCCACCGGTAGGCTAGAGATCACGCCTGAGGTGAGGTGTAATTTGCGAACCTGGGTGCGGGGTATCTGGCCCCTCAGCAAACGGGCAAGGAATCGCCCCCGCTTGTTAGCGTGAGTGTAAAAAAATGCTTTAGAGCGTTGCAGAGAGCGGTGGTGGCGTTTCATAAGGAGCTCCTTTAGTTGTCGCCTGGATTGCATCAAATCCCGATATGTCTCCATGAGGAGCGATCTTTTATGCTGGCTTTCCAGCTCCGTGATTCGTCTGTATAGGTTAGCCATCTCCTTCATCGCTGTTTTCTTCTTATGTGTAGCTATGCGTAATGAGCGTGCCCCGCAGGACACTCTTGTGTGCTTCCCAAATCGTTATTGGAGATATGTCCGGTGACGCGTTATCTTGGAAATAGTGGGTCAGGGCTTGCGAAACTTGTTCCCGCGTGCCGGGGTCTAGGAGCAGAGTCTCGTTGAGTCTCCATGTCCACCTAGAAGGGCGAAAAAGTGGAGACTCGAGTTCCATAACCACGGGACCATGATCCGACCACGTAGCAGGCTCTATCGTGGCTGATATTATTCGCGATAACCCCGCTTGTCTGATAAAGAGGTAGTCGATGCGAGAGTACCTATCGTGAATGGCGGAGTAGTATGTAAAGTCTTTCACGGAAGGGTTGAGTGTTCTCCAGCAATCGGCGAGGTCCATATTGCCCAGGATTCTCCGGATTGCTCGTAAGTGCAATTGTGAGATGCTGCTGTGCCCCGTGGAGGAGTCCAGAATGGGATCCAGTGGGACATTGAAGTCGCCTCCGAGAACTAGGATGCCCTCTGAGAAGTCATTCAATTTTGCCAGAGTGCTTTTTAAGAACGTTGCTTGTCGTTTGTTGGGGACATAAATGTTGGCAAAGGTATATAGCTTGCCCGCTATTGCCCCCTTCAGAAAGAGGTATCTGCCTTGTGTGTCGGTAACGGTATCCATCACCTGGAACTCCAGGTCCGCGGAGAGCAGGATAGCTACACCTGCTTTTCTTGCCGTGGGGTGGTTGCAGAAATGGCTTGTCGGGTAGGATTTATTGTGGAGAGTAGGCGATGCGCTGGATCGAAAGTGCGTTTCCTGTAGCATCGCCACCGATGTGTGTCGTTTCCTAAGCTCGCGCAGGAGGTGGGTCCTCCGTACTGGGATGTTCAATCCCCTGCAGTTAAGAGTGAGGACAGACAGGGGTGCCGGCTGATAGGCCATGGTTTTTAGCGTATGAGGGTTATATGTTGTGAGCAATAAGTTCCCAAGCCTCCTCCCACCCTATGACGGCCCCAACCACCCCGCGAGGGCGCAGGCTCCCGTGGCAGGCCAATTGGTGCAGGCGGGGGGAAGAGTCTGCTTTTTAGAGGGCAGTGGAGGTGTAGAGAGGGTGGTATGAGGGGGGGGGGGAGATGGCAAGTAAGGGAAAGTGAGTGGGAGGAGATGGGAGTGGACAAAAGTAGGGGTGGGTTAGATGGCAGAGGGAAAAAGAAGAGAAAAGTAGAGTAAACTTCCCGTCTAATGGGTGTCTACGCCGGGGTAAGAGGTACCCCTCTTGTGCCACCCCTAGAAGTGGGGCGACTCGTGCTGCGGCGGGTAGCACAAGGAACACGTCCCGGTAACCAGACCTCTAGACAGTGTCCCGCTGTGGTCCGTCGCGTGTCTGTAGCACGAGTAAGAGTGGGGCTACGTGGGTCAGTACCAAACCAAGTGGTATCCGTCCACATAACACCCCGTGTTTGCTGAACATACACATTCCATAAGGCGATTTAGTGCATAAATGAACAGATATGACAAACAGAACAACAACATGAGCAGCAACGAAGCAGCATAATAACAATCACAGCATGTTAGGAATTGACCGGTATATGATCCCCCATCCGTCCCGTACTTCCCTAGCAGCGTCCCCCCCCAGGAGTTCTGGTTCCCTACCCCTGATGTAAGGGCACCTTCTACATTGTCTGTCCCGTGTTTGGAGGTCAGTATTTGCCTTGTATAGGGGGTGTTCGTCAGTCCTGCGTCCAACCCCCCACCCCAGTTGTGTGTGTGTATTGGGTCCAAATAAGGTCGTGTGGTTGATCCGAATTTGAGTGGCAGCTGTCCCCCTCTTCCCCCCTGCATGTGGTCTGTCCTTCTCCAACGTATGCAGTATGGGTGGAGGTAGTATGTACCACAATGTGGGCTTGTACACTTCTCAGGTGTGTTCTCCTCGGACTCCGTGTGGTGTATCACCCCAAATCAGTACCCGGGGTGACCCTATGCATATGGCGTGATATGTGTCTCTTGTACAGTCCAGGTTGACCCATCGACCTCGCATCCCATTACCACATACCCACCCACTTAATCTAGAGGGGTGTCATAGTGATATGCGTGGGCGAGGTGTGGACAAGGTGGATAGCCTAACTAAGTGTATCGGGGGTAACAGCCTAGATCTGGTTGCGTCATGGTCCTACAGACCAGCATGTACTTTACAGGCAAAGCTTACCAATAGCATAAGTAGCCAATACCTTATCGGTAAAAAGTCCAAAACAATATGGCAAGTCTCAATATGGAAGGGTAGTTTCTTCCCGACCGTCCAGTAAAAATGCAGTAGGGCAGGTAAAGGGCTGTCAGAGCATCAATTCGCCAGCTCAGCGTCCTCAAGGGAGCCATGTGTGACAAAAACAGCCGCCTAGCATCTCAGTTTGGGCAGTTGTGAAAAAAATATATATATTTCTTTCTCTTTTTTTTCCTTTCCTATCCCCTCTTCTCTTTCGTGCAATGTAGTCTTGTCGCTGAGATCTCTCTCCCTTTTTTTTTTTTTTTTCTTTTTTCCCGTGCAATGTAGTCTTGTCGCTGGAATAGTCCATATTTTCCCCAAAGTTACCTTTTATGTATTCACCCGTCCTTAAGGGGGTGAAGCTCATAGACATTGTGTCGCCCACGTGATGGCTGAACATGAAAAGGAAGTCCAGTAGGAGCAAAAGGAGGCAACGATGGAGTAAAAGGCTTCACCATTCTTATATACAAAAGCGTTCTTCGAGTTCCCGGCTGGGTAAAGATCAGTTTTCAAATTATTCACAACTCTGTTTTGTCAAGCATCTGACTGCTACATGCTTTCATCCGATGCATTATCACTTTTCTAGAACACAAAATATGTATACTGCAGTGTAATCACCATCTTCCAAATAACACCGTTATTATTGCGTAAGGCAAATTCCCTTTTCTCCCTTTTTTCCTTTTCCTTTCCGGTCTTTTCTTCTCTTTCTTTTTCCTTACTGTTTTCGTTGATAAATGGATATAACGTGTTCCTTTTTTATGAATCTTAAATGCAAATGACCTATGTTCGTCTGTAGGAGGCATAGGAAACAGACCTGGAGAAGGTTACATGTTGATGCACCTGTTTGACCAGAAGACTTTAACCTCCTTCCTTGTTACATCTAAAGGGACAGATTATTTATCATCACGTTCCCATTTTCGGTGTAGTTTCATCCCGTGGGCATATCTGGTGGCGTAAGGTGAGGGGGCCTTTACATGTCAAGGCGTGCAGTCTATGGCAGCTCGTACGGTGGGGGGGGAGGAAATTCAGTTTAGGGGGGATCAGACTTAGGTGCCAGGGTAGGTTTATGGGTTTTCATCACCAAAACGTTCGGGGGCCTCAGCCTGTAGCAGCATCTTAAAAAGGCCTGACAGGACCTCCGCTGCATTCTCCCCTCCCTCTGTCTCCGGGACCCCCCTTACCCGAATGTTGCACCTGCGGCCTCTATTATCGAGGTCCTCCAGGTGTCTCCTCATATCGAGGAGCATGTCTCCTTGCCGCGCAATTGCCAGGTCAGTCGATGAGATCCTGGAGGATTGGGTCTCCATTGCGGTTTCCAGAGCCTCAATGCGGGTTCCGTGGGCGGTCACTTCCGTCCTGATGTCCGCCATCTCCGAGCGTAAGGCATCTTGTATCGTGGTGGTAAGTGTGAGCAAGTCGGTTTTAGTGGCCATAGAGGCCGCGATGGATCGGAGTTCCTCACCTATCCGAGCCAGGGAGGAGTGCTCTGTTCCCGAGGAGGAGGCAGGGGACGGTGGCGTTGAGCTCGGGCCCGCCGGCTCTCCTCCAGAACCGGGGGTCGGGTGTAAAAAGGGGTCCATGAGGCCCTGAGAGGGGTGTTGTTGGGAGCCCCTCGGTGTCTGAGAGGGCTCCGTGCGCCTGTTGCGACCCATCTGTCGCCTGTAGCGGTGTACAATCGCCGTTTAGGGGGTTATGTTGGAGCGGAGCACACGGTCTAAGAAGCCATCTTGGTCAAGGTCATGGTCACGCCCTTGCTAACCAAAATTCTAACAGCAAGATTAGTAATAACTACATGTAACAGCAAGTACATTATAGTAAAATAATAATCTAGTAACAAAATGAAAAGTCCAGTTGAATATCTTCTGCATCTGTTTGTACCTTTTAATGCTGCAGTATTCAAAATTAAATGAATACATTGCTTTGTATTCAGTTTATTTCTCTCTGATTTACAGTTCTTTACTGCTGGAAGTGAATACTCCCCTTGTAAATGGGTGGACTAACAGACACGTATTTGTAACTAGACAAGTTGTATGTACAGGAACATAGGGATTGAGGACTCTGCTCAATGAGTTTACATGCTAAATCTCATCCTGTAATGATTCATGAAGGCGTTATTCCATCATGGAGATCCTTCCCTTAAAGCAGGCTTTCCCAAACTCCAGATGTTGCTGAACTATAACTCACATGATTCTCAGCCTATTTTGTTTATAGAATCATAGGAGTTGTAGTTCAGCAACATCTGGAGGGTCGGAGTTTGGCTAAGTCTGTCTTAAAGGAACAATACAGTAGTCAAAAAGACTATCTTATTGAAGTAGCTTTTGTGTATAGACTGTGCCTCTGAAGTCTCTCTGCTCAATTCTCTGCCATTTAGGAGTTAAATTGTTTTTGTTTTGGTCTATGCAGCCATAGCCACACCTCTTCTGCCTGTGACTGGTGCATTAACCCCTTCAGACCGGAGGGCGTACAATTACGCCCTATTTTAGGCGGCTCTAAACGCCGCTGGGCATAATTGTACGCCCTCCGTTTTTTTTCTTACTTACCCGGTGGGGGGGGGGGACTCTTCCAGGGAGCCACCCCTGCAGCAGATCCTCCTCCTCCGGTGCCTCCCGGCCATGTGAGAGTGAGGTCCTTGCGAGGACCTCACAATCACATGGCCGGGTAGGCTGCCTCCTGTGATACTGTGATACTTTTTACTGTTTTGAAACACAAATATTTGTGTACAGCAAAGTCTCCCGAGTACAACAGTACCCCTCATGTACAGGTTTTATGGTGTTTTCAAAAGTTACAGCGTCAAATATAAGGCTTGCGTTTCATTTTTTTCACATTAAAATTCGCCAGATTGGGGGGCGGGGCTTAGCGGCGGAACGAGACGGACGCCATTTCTGACAGCTCTGAGCAAACTGAAACTGAATCCGTTAACATCACCAAAAGTACATGCCATGCACGCAAACAATTACCAGCATTGCCCGAGGGAGTCTATCCTGCACCGCCCGATGCCATTCCGGTACAATTTGAGGCAGGCAAAGCCCAAAACGAAAATCCGGGCCTACTACACACCAAACAGCCGCGGCCTGGAGTACTTGTGGGGCGGAGAGAGCCTGGGAGACCCAAGCGAAGTCCATCTACAGGACCCCGACCAATCCCACGAGGAGATGGGGCGCAGATCACAAAAACCACACCAAGGTACTGCCACAGCACAGCCTGATAAAGGGGCACTGCTGCAGAAACAAACCCCAGCCAAAATGGCACCCGACCAGGGCCCAGACCCCCCACAGGCAGACACCCCACCTGCATAAACCACTCAGGGGGACACACAGAGATCTCCACAGCTCACACAGACCACAACCACCAAACCACAAAGCAGGACCTGCAGCAGTTGCAAACTATGCTGCAGGATATACAACACCTGCTGGCAGCAGACCTATCAGCGCTCAAAATGAGCATGCAACAGATCACAGAAAAAGTGACCACTACTGAAAACCAAGTAAAAACAATACAGGGAGAAGTCTCTACGCTACAAGATTCGCTCCACCAACTACAACAAGACCAGCAACGCTTAGCAATACAACTGGCGACGCAGGAGGACAAAAACCGGCGCAACCACATCAAAATCAGAGGCATCCCGGCATCGGTGAGCAAAGAGGACCTACCGCATTACGTGAGGCGACTCACACAATCACTACTCCCTCCCACAGTAACAAAGAAACTCGCCTTTGCAGGGATTTACCGCCTACCCACGCCTCCCAGAGCCGCCGCAACGCTAGCCGGAGATGTCATTGTCCGTTGCGCCCTACCGCAAGACAAGGGGCACATCATGAGCGCAATCAGGGGTAAGACCCCGCTTGAATTCGAGGAAACCCAACTGACCTTTTATCAGGACTTATCCAAGGCCACCCTCCAGTGGAGAAAGTCACTTACGGAACTCACCGGCCATCTGCGTACAGCGGGGATACCATATAGATGGGGGAACCCCCGCTCTCTGCTCATCACCCACCAGGGAACCACCCATAAAATCACCTCAGGGACTGAGGCCCCTACACTACTCACAAAATTGGGCCTGCAAAACTTGCCCAACCTGGGCACTCCCCACGTCTGGAATCCAGATACCTCGGATACGTTTGTGCCGAGAAGACAGAGAATGGACACGCAAGCCACCTGACGGACAGGGGGAGAGAGATCTCTTAACCCTGCCCGCTCAACGGCGATATCCATATGTCTTGTTTACCACAACCTGTATTCCCCCCACCCTCCGCGCAATACATTTCTGATGTTGAAGTTCTTACCTGTTTACCGCTAGCTAGAT